TATAACTAGTAACGACCATAATACATACATATTATATTAATACATACTATGAATGCTGTACGTATATATGTATAACGTATTACAGCGATTGTGCACAATATGTATAATATGATCGGAAAATATTGTCGGACGGTCGAGGGACTGGCTATAAAATCGGTATTATGGCCAAGCCACCATCACCGCGATACACAACCAGTTTGATTTGTGTGTGTTCTATCGACCGGCAGAAGGGTAGTTTAACGGCGTAACAGGACGAGATACACGAGGGTTGTTGGCCGAGTTAAGTGCGCTTATGTTGTATAGCGAGCATACGCGCAGAAGAATGAACGAAGACGTTCCTCATCGATTCCACTGTTATACACAATTGAGCCGCTTTCGTAAAGTACAAATCGAATTTTCGCAGACACCTACTTTAATCGCCTTCCTTAGATTGAAACAAAAAAAAAAAAAGCTTGTACAAGGGTTTTATTTTGGCATGCAGTGGGGACAAACCATATTGGGTTTAGGTACAGGAATTATTACATCTAAAAGTGATAAAATCACTTTCAAATAAACGCTTCGACGCGAAACATTACATGGTAACGCTACAACAATTTTGGCAAAAGCGTTATAAAACATATAACGTGGTTAAAACTATATTTTAAGTATTAGGGAGGATATAATAAGGGTTGATCGTCTGGCTATGTTTCCGGGCGAGAGGCCTGGAACCCCCTTTCACTGGGAGGTGTTCCCCTCGTTAAGGCCCACACCGCAGGTTCTGTTTTCACCTAACTAAGGCCCTGTATGATGATGGTGTATTTGTGTACCTGTTCAAGTGTAAATGTTATTTATTTGACCCATTGCCGTGTATGGTATGCAAACATTGACGGCGGCGCAATTACGTTACTATGGCGGGCTTGATGGGCGTTGAAATCCATGTCGGTTTCGTTATTATTATAATAATTGGCGTTTCGAGTGCCGCCGCATAGCTATTCAACAATAAAAAAATTACTCGAGGGTAGAAAATAAATAGAGGACAAAAAATGGTTTTTAAAAATATCGTACCGAGATTATTTTTATTTTGTGCCGTTTATACGTTATATTGATTTATTAATAATTTTTTAAAACACGACATTATGACATTTAGTACACAGGGTGCCATTATACGAGTGTTGTCTACAGTCACTAAATGTAGCATACGATAAAAATACATACAATAATATTATTATATCATATATAAAAATAATAATACAACGTGTAATATAATATACAATTTATAATTGAAAATAAATGCACATCAATCGTGTAACATTCAAACATCCAAACATGTCGGTGTCTTTTCTTGAACACAATAATTATGTATTATTTCATATTTTATGGAAATAGAAGAAATCTCCCGTAATACATTTTTTCTTATTAATACAAATGAGAATTGTATTTTGGTTTTAAATTTTGTTCAGTTCAATGTTTTAGAAATGGTAATAGATTAATACAGCGGATCAATTATTACGTCGAAAATTTCGCTACTACAATATGTATACAGGACGGACAACAGTGAACGTAGTAACCCGTGGCTTGATGGTACCAACAGCTGGAGTCGCGATGCCACTGCGTTGCTTTCTTTCTTACTTGTCCGTCACGTTGAAAGAGTTGTACAATGAACACTCCTCAAGACATAGAATATCGTTTAAGTCTTAATGTTATGGTCTACCGTCTATTGTTATAGGTTTAAGAAATGTTGCCACCCCAATGAATACTTATATTAAAGGTCATATATACGTATATACATACAGGGTGATCCACTTATCGTAAACCACTCAATATCTCATAGGGTTTAATAAGAAATTAAAATATTTTTTTCATACAATGTGATCTCAATTTTTCACAATTGTTTTTGTTTTTACCCCTCTTCCAATGTAGTTTTTTTGATAGCGACTTTTGAAACTTAAACGGTAACGTATATATTTTATTAACTTTTTAAATTGAGAATAACGTATTAAAAATGTTGACTGGTCGATAACCAGTTTCGGATGACTATTTTTGAAGTTTCAAGTTTAGGGCAGGAGGAAAAGTGGAGTGTAAGTATTATTTTTATCTGCGCGCATTTCCCAACTGCACTTCCTCTCCCATCCTAACTTTAAAACTCGAAACTTCAATAACTTCAAAAATAGTTATCCGAAACTAGTTATCGACCAATCAACATTTTTAGTACATTATTCTCAATTTAAAAAGTTAATAAATTTTATACGTTACCATTTAAGTTTCAAAAGTTGCTATCAAAAAAACTAAATTGGGAGGGGGTTAAAAACCAAAAAAATTCTGAAAAATTGAGATCACATTGTATTAAAACAATATGAAAAAAATAATTTTAATTTCCTATTAAAGAGTGGATCATCCTGTATATATATATATATATTATATGCTTTGTTTCGAAGTAACCTTTTAACTTTATAATATTATTCTACACAAGACTAAATAGCTGATGTATAATCGTTAGTAAATAAGTAACGGAAATAGGCAATCCTAGGGCAGAGTTCGGGTATACCGAATAGCTGGAACAGTTGGAATATTATAACAGAAATAATATCGGATATCGATAAATGCAATAAAATAAAAATAAAACTATTGTAGATAAGAAGAAATATACAATAGGAAAAATTATATTATTACTTGCCGCCTAAAACCGGTTTTGGTCGTGGTCGGCGGCCGCCGCCTTCGTGTTCACGTGAATTGCAACCCGCTAGGAGCTGCCCCCACCACCACTGCCGCCGCCGCGTCACACCGCATGTGTTTTAAAGTCGCCGCTAGGATCGCCACAAACTGGCACTAATAACTACTAAAACATGTCTCAGGATATGCAATTTTCTGAGAAACTGAGGGTTTTAACGCATACTTGCCTATTAACAAAATTAAAGATGAAGAGTTTATCTACATATTAACAAAGGTTTTTTTCGATTAAAATGTTTTAAAACGAAGATATACGCTATTGAAAAATGAAAACTTCAAAGATCTATAACTCGGTTCCTAGTAACATAATCGAAAAAAACCTATGTTAATATGTAGATAAACTTGTAATCTTTAATTTTGTTCATTAGCAAGTATACGCTAAACCCACTCGGTTTCCCAGAAAATTGCATATCCTGAGACATGTTTTACGCGCCGAAAAAAAGTGGTGTGACGCCCTCTTAAGGCGGAATTTGTTTGAATGCAACACCAATGTTTTATATTGATGATATATATAAAGAGAGAGAGGCGTTATAACTATGGGTCATGGGCAATATAGGAGAGGCCTTTTTCATTACTATTATTAGACACGGGTTTCCATTAAAATACGTACCTATATATATGTATAATACAAAGCCGTATTGTGAACGATAGAAATAAAAAGAGTGATAGAGAACGAGAGAGAGAGAGAGAGTTATTTGATCAATCAACATTACGTATAAAAGGTGTAAAACCACAATATGTCTTTTATAAATTTATATATATATATTTTTTTTTTGCTTGTTAACATGTACGAATGTTTATGTTTATGTGTGTATATGAGGTGAAAAAAAGGAAAAAAAGAGAAAAAAAGTTGTCGCTTAGGTAAGGAAAAAAAGGGATTCGATCAATTGGCTCAAGGACGTTTGTGGCTGGTGTGACCCCCTTTTTCAGCCAGGCATTCATTTAGAGAGACCAGACGACCCCGAGGCGTCTGTCGGACGCGGAGGGCGGAGTTTCATCGACGGAGACGCATTACGACGTGAAGAGCAGTAGCGGTGGTCAAACTAATACCTCCGTTGGTGCACAAACATGCATGTATAGGTACCACACTAATAAAGGTATACTGTACACGTTCTTACATTTATACATAATAACCTTTGGCGAGTAAGTCAAAAGTTTTACGACAAGTTATGCATAGAAGTCATTTTCAGCATTGAAGCAAAGCAAAGCAAACTAAATTATAGTGTTACAACATATTCATTTATTTTTTTTTTGCTATGTGTATAGTTGCGCTATGCGTAGTATATACAGAAATGGATTGGTACTTGAAGGAATTAAAAGGCGAAATTTTACCAAAATATATTATACATAATTTTCAAACTCGATTTACAAATAGAATACATACATATAAATTCTTCGATATTCCCTACATTCAGACTTTCGTATTACAATATTATTTTCAATCGAATATTTGTAGTGTATCTACATTTATACATTTTTAAGTTCTACAATATAAAATCTTGATTATATTTAATGAAAACTGATTGTTAAAAGTATTCAAGCAGAAAATAATTTTGAAGAGTATATTAAAATGAAAAATATCAACCGTTTAACTAACGTGTTTAAATTGTTAGATTTATCTATGGACAGCAGAATGATATACTTACCTAGATAATGGAAATAATGTCTGGTCAAAAGCTACTTTTGAATAACTATTCCAAATCCTTAAAAATTTACCAGGCGGTTCAGTTTCATCGATTCATCTGATTTTTCATTTTTACCCCTATACTTAAGACAAATACCATACTTACGTTTTTTTACTGCTGAATGTTATACAATAATATAACACGTTTTCGTCTATTATAATGTTTCCGATTCTGAATATTTCTTCTAGCACTCACATCCAACCATTTTAAATCGTACGTCTCTTCTCTATTCTTTAGTCAATCTCCGATGTATAGACTTTCCATTCAAAATAAACGAATTCAATATCTTGGGTTTTGGGTCATTCGGTTAATAAGGTGGCTGATTATCTAGCATGGGTAAATTTTTCTAAATATGTAATTCATTCTTCTCCTCCAAAATTTCCTTTTTCCTATCTCCTAAATTTAATAACTGTATAATGAATGCCCGGCATTTCAAATGGTCCTTCCCCTCTTACTTTTGCTTCATGGCAAAGGAGTTAATAGTTAAAAATTATACCTTAATGCATTAAATTTGGGTTCAGGATTATAACGAATAATGATTATATTTTGGTATAAATGTGTCTAAGGAATGTAAAAGATATCATGACACAAATAATTAACAACAATGAATATAGATTATTAATTCTTCATTTATAGTACAAGTATAGTAAATATGTATAGATCACAATCTAAATCTTCACGGATAGTAGAATCCTTCAGTCATTAAAAGATTACTTGAAAATTTAGTCTATCATTACAAAAGATTTAGAATCGCTGTGAATAGCTTGGTCCTGGGCCATTCGGATTTCCTTGTTGTGAATACATCATTTGCTGTTGGTGTTGCGGTACATGATGAAAGTCTTGTTGATGTGGTTGTTGTTGCTGTAATTGTTGTTGTTGCTGTTGTTGTTGATGTTGTTGTTGTTGTTGCTGCTGCTGCTGTTGTTGTTGCTGTACTTGTTGTTGCTGTTGTTGTACTTGTTGTTGTTGCTGTTGTTGTTGTTGAACTGTACTCGGCATTACTGTTCCAGGATTAACACTAGGATGACCACCAAGTCCATTCATTCGCATTCGTTTTTGGTTTGCAGCATGTTGTTGTTGTTGATGACTATGATGACTTCCCGCTTGATCAGAATGAGCACCCTAAAAATGAAAAAAAAACATTAATACTTTATAGTAATAGGAAATATACCACTATAAAAATAAAACATTTAAGACAAAAAAAAAATATTTATACTTAAACTATTACATATCAATGAAATTATTTAAAAGCATTTATTATTCTTTTGGAGTTTCATTTATACAGGAGTATAAATTACTATATTAATCTGCACTATTGCAGTAAAGCAATAGTAAACAGGTAAAAAAAATAACCCTTCCTCCTTGTACACTTAAACGCTAAAAACCTCAAACAACTCATAGCTAGTCAACATTTTCATTAAAATTATCATTTTAATAAAGTAACGTAAAATGTTTATTAAACAAAAACATTATTATTTATTTTACTGACTACTAAATTATTTACAAAAAAAAACAGTTGGAAGTTAAAAATCTGAATTTTCCTAGGAAATACTATAAAACGTAAATCTTTGAGGAATTCCAAATGTGACTAGCAAAGTGAGAAATTGGGCTTGAAGCACAACATCCTATATAAGTAAGCCAAGTAGAAATTTCATGTCCAAATTTCTCACTCACCTAAAATAAACACATGGCTAAAAAAAAATGTAACATTGTTATAAAAAATTCTTAAGCTAATGTAATTTTGATTAATAAGAATAACTGTGTATTTTTTTTTTTTAGTACTTAATAATTTATAATACATATAACTAATAATAAAAGTTATAAAACTGATGTAAATTATACAATAGTTCTAGATACTTGAAGTTTGATTTATTTTAGCATACTGTAAAAATGTAAATAATTAATATAAACGTTTAATAAAATATTGTATATTATTGTAAATTATTCACAAATATGATACTTACATAAATTATTATCATATTAGAACTGTAAATTTATAAAGATTTTTAAAAGAAGTTTTCTAGGCCACTAGTATTGCATTTGTGTAAACACTCAAGTTGTTTTTGTTTTTTCAAGAACAAAAAACTCTACAGAAAAAGTGATTCACATGGATGTTATCATCATAACAAAAAAAAACTATGAAGAAGAAAATACATTTTTTTAAGCCTGTATCTCCGTCAATATTATTTTTTTCAAATCAACCTTGAGGTTATAATTTGTTTTTTTTTTTAAGGTGAACATTTTCATGTGAATCAATCTTCCTCTAGAATATTTTTATCCATGAAAAAAATTGATAACTTTTAAGTTTTTAATTTTTATATTGCAGTACTACTTTTATATATATATAAACATATATATATATATATATATATATATATATATATATATATATATATATATATATAAATATATATATATACTGTTTTAATAACAAAAAGAAAACAAGAAAGAAAAGCTTTTAAGAGGTTAACATGAAATTATTTTAAATTTAAAAGAATTAAAGTTAGAAAAAAATATCTGTTATATTTCTTTTTTTTTAAATTTTCTAAGATCTAAATATGTGTTACCTCCAGCGCAGTAGGATTAAAGCCATGCCAATTGTGCAAACTATTAACATAAGCGTTGTCGATTAAGCTATTACGACGTTCCTGGGCAATATTGTCAAATCTAGGTGTGATATTATCGTTCTTAATATAAGTGCGAGTGTTAGAACTATCGACTAAGTACCGTCCACGATCATATGCAAATATCTAGTAAAATAATATTTTTATCATACATTTTTTAAAAAATAGCATGCAAGTTAATATGATATTTTGAATATAAAATTTAAATAGCTTGTATTTGAAAAAAATTTAACCTGTAAAGCAATTAAAAAGTCATTAAGCATTTAAAACATTTTACATTTTTAGAGCACCAAGAAGTACAAATTTGATAGATACTTGAAATGTTTCTAAAGCTGCAATCAATTTCCGTAATAATCTATTAACAGTCCTAAGTATTAAAATGTAATCAATAACATAATTAATTTTACTGCTGTATTACTAGCTTTAAATTATATATATGGAAAATATATTGTGGATTATCCCATCATTAATACATTCATGTTTACATAATTGTCTGCAAGTATTTTCATGTTTAAAAGATTTAATAGTTAGGACTGTATAAACATTAATGTCTAGCTGTGTTAAACAAATGATTATAAGTTTTCTAAAAAAATAAAAAATTGAATTAAATCACATAAGTGTAATACAATTAGTTACTCGAGTTCTTTAAAATCATGCAAACAAAGTAAACTACCGTGTGAAATTTAAATAGATACTGATAAAGTAATAATGCAAAACATACATTCGTAGCTTGCTGGCGTTTATCTTTATCATCTTGATCATCATCAGTCAAAAATTCTCTTTTGGGATACGGAATCGGACAGCCAGCAAAAACACTGTTAAGTTCATTTTAAATTATAAATTAAATAAATATGGTAAAAAATATAATTTAAAAGAAAAAAAATTAGTACTCAGAAGTCGGTGTAGGATCTTCTTGAAAATATGAGTCTTGTTTTGCTTGCTCAGAAGTAATTCTTTTGTTTGGGTCCATTAATAGTAATTTTTGCAGCTAAAAGTTGACATTAAAAAATTATAAACTATTATCATATCTCAATAGTTGTGTTAAATACAATTATATTATGGCCCCTTAGAGGTGAATGGCAAAAAACTAAGCAGTGGTTAAGGAGATAACCTAAAAACAAAGATAAATAAAAAGAGTAATATAATGAAAAAAAGAAATGGTAAACACAAAGATGGAAAACAAGGAGGAGTCTTATAAAAATCTAGAAAGTTTTTCAGAAAAGCTAATAAAATTAGAAAATCGTATAAACCAAAAACAATAATAATAAGAAATGAGAATAACAGATTGATAACTGAAGAACAGATTATGTAAAAGAGTTCAATTGAGTATTCCAAAAACTGTTTGAGAATCGAGAGCAGGAGAATGTTAATTGCTATGTATTCATCAATGGAATAAAATTTATACACGTCAGAAATTGAAGAGATTAGTAGCTGTAGAAATGTTAAAGATTAATAAAGCTCCACGCGAGAATTTGATAGGAGCCTAATTATTTAAGAAGATTCTATTGTTAATGATATGTGGAAATTCATCAAGAAGATTTGGCTACTAGAGCAGAACAATGTACTACTCTGCTCCATTCATAAGTTTAGTTGGAAGTCAATATTTATAAGAATTCGAGACACTGGAGGAAATTGTCAGAAAGGTTCAAGAGACAGCAAATGTTGTTAGCTTCAATGTGTAAGAACAAGCACTACTAGCAGATGTGGAGGACGAGTGGCCAAATGTGGCAGTGTGTTAGTGCTCACCCTCGATTCGAGACTCGGCTACAAGTCATGGGTGGTCTCTCTTAGGGCAGGCAACTGAACTAGCATTTAAAACCTAATACTGATCAATAATAGCCATGTACAATAATAATAACTAGCAGATGACGTATCGGTACTTGGATCAAACAGGAGAAAATAAGAACGAATGACTAAATAAAAAACTCTTCAGAAAAGAAGACATAATCCAGTCATTTAAAAGAAGAAGAATGAACTAGCTAGAACACATATAGAGATTGAGTAACATAACAAAAGACATACTGAAATGGAAACCAGAAAATAAAGCAACTCTGGGCAGGCCGAAGAAAAGATACTTGGAGGAAGTAGTGAGTAATAGAGAGGTGTGGAGCAGTGATGGGGTTTTATGTCTGTTAAAGCTGAATAAGACGGTGATGTTTGATTCATACCAAATGAAATGCTTTACTCTCTGGTTTTATTTTATGCCGATCCATATACTTGATCAAAGAACAATTTGAATAGCTAAAAACAAAAGTAGAAATTTTTACAATATAAATTATTTCTCAATATTTAAAATAAAATTAGTCCTTTAACATACTTTGAACGTTTGAAGTCTTTCATTAAAGTTGTGTGTTCTGGCATTTTTTTTATGTCTTCCCAGTCTTTTTCTTGAGGAAAACCCATTACATTAAAAATTCTAAAAATTAAGAACCACATTAGCCATAAATAATGTTCTAAAAAATGATATATTAAATTTTTTTTTTTTATAGTCAATACCTATCTAGTTGATCGTGATGGTATGGATTACTTGTTTTAATATCTTCTTGGCGGCAATGAAAAATCGGTTCTGATGTTAATAATTCAGCAAATATACAACCGATAGCCCATATATCTATTTTACAAAAATCATTATTAAACTACTCTGTTTAATTATTTACAATACATACCTAGTTAAATAGCTATTTTTTATAATAAAAAGAACAATTTTTAAAATAATGTTTGATTACCAATAGCCTTAGTGTAATGTCTTGCTCCTAATAAAAGTTCTGGAGCACGATACCAAAATGTAACTACAACAGGATCGAGATCAGCCAGTGGTTTTAATGGGGCATTAAATAATCGAGCAAATCCCATATCAGCTATTTTAACTCGTCCTCTTTCTGGACCTTCTCCCATAACTAATATATTTGCTGGTTTCTGCAAATTTGTTTAATTGAAAATATATAAATTTTAACTTAAAATAAAAATTTTTATATATAATTAATTATTTATTATATATTTATATACGTATAAATAAAAACAAAAAAAAATAAAGTTACCAAATCTCTGTGTAAAACCCAATTAGAATGCAAATAATGTATCCCATCAAGTATTTGAAACAACAGTGATTTGACCATTCCTTTAGGAACCATAACAGGTTTCTTATTTGCTTTAGCAGCTCGATGAAATTTTATTATATGCTAAAGAAGAAAATACTGATTAATTATCATAAAATAATAAATAGTATTAAATTTATATGTTTACTTACCCAAAGATCATGTTCTGCATAATCAAATAGTAACCATACTTTTCTATCATTGTGTGACAAAAATACACGTATTAAATTTATTACATTTGGATGTTTCAGTTCTCTTAACAACTAAAATATAACAATAACTTAATAAAATTAAGAAAAAATAGTTCATCCACTACATTTAACTTACAGCAATTTCACGGCATGCTGACATTGACAATCCAGTGCCTTCAATTTGCTTTAAAGCAAAATCCTTGCTATTGTCTCTGTAATATATCATAATCAATTATTTAATTAATAATTATGTTTAATGCTCAGTTACTCAGAAAATTTTAATGACTTATTAAATTTTAATTAACTTATTACAAGTCAATAGATAATGTTTAAGGAACAACCAGAAAAGTTCTATTGATTAAAATAAATATAACTAGTATCTACATAAAATTGCAAAAAAAAAATTGATTTTATTGTTTTTAAAACTAGTATGTTCAACCTAAAGCATGTCCACGCTTAAGCAACATTGGTGTAAACATTTGTCGCCTACATATTTTTCTGTGTGTACTTTCAGATTTACTGAATGCCATCGAAAATTTTGGGACAGGCGTAGACAAAGCTTTTGATTATAAATCTAGTCAAAAAACAGAGTTGTAATTATTTCCTAATATTTATTTTTAGTAATTTTTAACTAACTTTTGAAAATAAGATAGGCAAGTAAATTGTATACTGTTTGCTTATCAAAAGAAATCAATCATTGTGTTATAATGTCTATCAGTCTATAATTAATAATAAATAGTCCCCAAACCAAATTCTTTAAAAGTCACATAAGACTAATGGCCTTTATACCTATTTTACTGATATAATTAAAATATTAACCACTGGTTAAAATTATAACAAAAAAAAAATATGAATTTTGTTTAGATATTTTAAAACTAAATGCTAGTAATACTGATCACATTTGGTATGTGTTTTTAAAATTTTACAATGTACATAATAATTGTTCTATTGTTTATTAAAAAATAAATAAATAGAAATATATACAAATAATAGTATAGAATGAGTAAGTAATTATTAATACCTATAATATGTTAAGTTAACAAGTAAGACAAGTCATAATAATAAAAACAAGTTTAAAAAAAAATCACTTTACCAAGCAATTTAATACTTTAATCATTATTTTAGTGTAGATGGAGTAGAGTATATATTTAATGAGTTAGCATTTGGCTAAATCTTTTTTTAAATTAATTAAATTACATAAATTACCCGTCTTTTCTCCGTGCTTTATACACATGTCCATAGGTACCTCTTCCCACTTTACAACCTTCATAATCAAAAAGTTCTTCTACCTTGGCTCTTTCATTGCCAGTCTTAATTTTGAACTCGTAATCCATTTAACTACGCTAAGTCTCGAGTATTTTTTTATGCACGTCTGTTATGACTATTTTTGTAAAGCACATATGTGAGAACATCATTTACTTAGCATACATTTTGATTAGTTACTCAGGATGACTAAAATTACATTAAAACAATAGGTTAATAAATAATTACCTAAATAGTTTTTTTTTTTTACAAATACCTAGTACCTAGTCATAATTAACACATACCTCATCTTGTTAGTCAATGAATTTTTTTTCTCAACGGTATATAACGTCAATAAAGCGTACCTGCTGAGATGTAAGTTAGACAATTTAAGCTGCAATAATGGTTTAAATACGTGTTTAATTAGAATCGGCTATTTGATTTTGTTTTTAGATTTTAATTTTCAAGTATACTTAATCAATGGAAATAGATAAGTATTGAAATTTGAACATTTAAAACGTAAACAAAAAATTCACTGAAACTGATAAGTGGGGCCGGATCATTGTGGCCAACGTTCGCCCAATATTTAGAAACAAAAACACTGAAAATTGGGAATAATTTGTGATTACACTGTACAATCATGAACTATGATAAGATTTAAAGATAAGATTTTTTGATTTTTTCAAAGTAATAAACTAGGATTATAAATCATAAGAATGGTTGTAAAATGTAATTTTAATAAATAATTGTAAAATTGTTAAATGTGCACTGTAAATAAAATAACTAATAGTAACATGATTATAATTGCGTGTTTGTTTAATAATGTTAAATGTATTGTAATGAAAAAAATAGCAAATAAAAAAAACGTGTTATTAATGTATTAAACAAGTTTTAGTTAATTTCCAAAGTTTTTCTATACAATCAATTGTAAATTTATCTGTTTAACAATTTAATCAGGAATTTTTTGTATGCAAATCTACTCATTTCGTCTCTGAAGATGTCTACGTGGAGTTTACAAACAAGCAGTCTCTTGAGGCTGATGCCTCGGTTTCAACTGTGAAAAAAATGTACATCCGTCTGTCATGTTGCCGTCTTTTAAGGCATCGAAAATTGATCTATATTTCTATCTTTGTTTCCATTCTGCTTTCGCTTATTTATGTGGTGATTATTCCTCTAGTTCTTAAATTCTTACAAAAACCCCAAACAAACACTCATACTGAACGGCAGTATGTTGTGCCTCGGAATAGCCCAGTGTTTCAAACAGTTGCACACTGTTCATTTCATGACTGTTTCAATATATATAGATGTGGCCATAAATTGAATGGTGATTTTAAAGTATACATCTACCCAGCAAGCAAGTATGTTGATTCAGATGGCATACCTGTTGGAGGAAAAATGTCCAGGGAGTATTATTCTATATTAAGTGCCATAGTAAATAGCCATTATTATACAGATCATCCCGAAGAAGCATGTGTTTTTGTATCTTCAATTGACACATTAAATCAAAATCGGTTCCGTGTTAAAGAAACATCACAGGCATTAGCAATGTTACCATAGTAAATAACTTAATTTTTTAAATTTAATTTAAATATTTATACTTCATTATTTATTTTAGCTGGAATGATGGGGAAAACCATATCATTTTGAATATGGTTCCAGGAGCAGCACCAAATTATAAAACTATAGTGGATTTATCTATTGGTAAAGCAATGGTAGCTGGTGCTGGTTTTGATACATGGACATATAGAACATCATTTGATATTTCAATAGGAATTTATAGTGAAACAGCATCACAGCTAAGCCACAACTATTCACTTACGCATAGGTAAGTAAAAATTACTTTGGATAAATGAAAAATTAAAATGTTTTTATAATTTTATTTTTATTGTTTTGTAGGCCTACTTTTATCACTACGGTTCAAACTAACTTACATTCAGATTTCATCACACATTTAAAATCAATTGAACAAAAAAGATCCATTCTAAGAGTTGTTGAACAATGTACTGATGACATACATAATAGATCAATTGTTTGTCATGGAAATGTTACATATGAATACACTTACATTCTAAGAGTAAGAAAGTTTCCAATTTATTTAAAAGGTTGTCTTTAGCAAAAATGGCAAAAAATTATAAAAATGTAGTATTACACAGCTGGAATAAAAGAAAATTTTTTTTTTGCTAGGTTATTTGCACTTGATTAAATTTTATGTATTTTAAGTCCCTGTTTCTAAAAATGATATTAATTTTACCCAATTAGCAATTGTTGCCAATATATTGCCTATACTCCATATATTGCACGTCATGTGTTTCAAAAGTGGCAAGTCAAAAATTATGTTTTGAGAAAATTGCGATATTTGTGACCATATTGTAGTATTGCTGGACACACTTTCATCTGTAAAACTTAACTTTAACTAGGTTTATGTTCTTATTTCACATAAAACACATGACACTTCACCTTATTTTTTCAATTTTCATACTAAAATTTAGAATTTGAAATTCTAAAAACTACCATTATTTTTGTAACACTTATTATAAATAATAATTGATTTTTCGACCTCATCACTTATCAATTGTCTTGATAATAATTAATATGTATTATTCTATGATCTTTTTTATCCTTTATCTACAATGTTTTGTTATACTACTCAGCTATGCTGTTCCTATTTAATTTTAAGTGGTTTCCAAAATAGACATTACTCTAATGATTTATGCAAATATATAAATAGTTATATAAAAATATAATACATTAAAAGTTCTAAATTATTTTATAGGATAGTATATTCTGTTTAATATTACCGGGTCCTAGGCTGATGGACACAACTTTAAGTGATGCCCTTGCTACAGGATGTATACCAGTCATAGCTATAAACCATGTAGTGTTGCCTTTTTTTGAAGTAATTGATTGGAAAAGGTACTTATAAATTGTATTGACAGTTTTATTTAGATTACTCGTTGTATTTTTATTTTATGATTATAGAGCAGTGATATTATGGAGTGAAACTGAACTGGATAATCTTTTAGATGTAGTTTCTGGCATACCATTAGATAGACGAAAAGAAATGTCATCTCAATGTCGTTGGCTTTATCATACATATTTATCTTCATTACAAAAAATTACTATGACTACACTAAAAATATTAAGTCAAAGGCTGCATCCGCATTCTGCAAGTTTTTATGAAGATTGGAATTTAAGACCAAACCCTGTAAGTCATAATACATTTATCAATTATTTTTGATAAATATAGATTTTATATATATATAATATATACAGGGTGATTATTTTATTGTGAACAACTCAATATCTCATAGGGTTTAGTAAGAAATTACATTTTTTTTCATAGTATACTAAAATGTTTGACTGGTCGATAACCAGTTTTGGATAACTATTTTTAAAGTTATTGAAGTTTCAAGTTAATTTAGGGCAGAAGGAAAAGTTGAGTATAGTATTACTTTTATTTGCGTGCAATTTCCCTCCCGTCCTAACTTTAAAAACGGTTGTTCAAAACTGGTTATCAACCAGTCAAAATGTTTTGTACAACAAACAAAAATAATTAATAATGTTCAAGCTCAAAATATGTTTCTTAAAATTAGTTTTTTTAAAGAGTAAATATATGTGTTAGATTTATGTATGGTAAGCTAAATGGTGTAATAGAAATAACGACTGATCAATAATTATTTTAAACCTTTTGAGCTTTTAACATGTAAAGGTATGGGTTAGGATGGAAGTGTATGTGAGTGGTGTGTAAATAGAACTACTCAGCTTAAGAAGTACTTATAAAAAATTGATAAACCAGCCAGTATATTAATTACAACATCATTCACTTGTTTACAGGTAATACACTTGTATTGGTTGTCAAATAACTTTTAAAAGTTACTTTATAAAACTACACTTCAAAAAAGTATTATATCAAAAATATTGTACTTTGTATTATATGAATATACCTATAACTGTGATTATTATATTTTCTAATATATAACTTTTTGAACATAAGACTTCATAGACTTACATTCTAACATATAACCTTAAAACAAGTGACCGCCACCCTTTTACAATAATATGTTTATAAGTTTTTAAAAATATAAATAAAGGGTGTCCCAAAAATAGCGCAACCGTTTAAATGGCGCAACTATGTTAAAAGTTGCGCTATTTTTGGGACACCCTATACTTCATGTAATAATTGTTATGATCTGTATTCACAGGAATCTGCGAGAAGTCCATTGTTCCTACCATACATGTCTGATTCTTCCGGATTTACTGCCGTTATATTATCCTATGATCGAGTTAGCAGTTTGTTCAAGCTAATACGTATGCTCAAAGGTGCACCAAGTCTGCAAAAAATTCTTGTTATTTGGAATAATCAGTTTAAATCTCCACCTCGTTGTAAGTACTTTTTTTTATTTTTGTTGTTCAACAATTCTTATTTATAGAACAAAATTAGTTTCAGTATGGCCAAAAACAGAAATACCAATCAAAATTATTCAAACCGCAGCAAACAAACTGTCCAATAGATTTTATCCTTACAGGGAAATAGAGACTGAAGCTGTGTTGTCATTAGACGATGATATACTTATGCTTACTATTGACGAGATTGAATTTGGTTATCAGGTCTGTTATTTTATATGTAAAAAATTAATATTTGTATAAGTAATTCTGTACAATTTATTTTTCATTTAGGTATGGAAAGAGTTTCCAGATCAAATTGTAGGATTTCCATCCAGATCTCATGTTTGGAATAACAACACTAAAACTTGGAAGTATGAATCAGAATGGAAGAATGAAATCTCTATGGTTTTGACTGGGGCAGCATTCTATCATAAAGTATGAACATTTTTAATTAATTTGGAAATAACATTGTAATCGCTATAATTTTTGTTTTTTACTTTGTACTAGTTTTGGAATCATGCTTACACATATAATATGCCTGGTAAAATTAAAAAAATTGTTGACGATAATATGAACTGTGAGGACATAGCAATGAACTTTTTGATAGCAAACACTACTAATAAGGCTCCAATCAAAGTAATTGTAGTTTTTTTATTCTATTAAAAATTATTTATAAACAAATAACATCCTTAATATATAAAAAAGGTTACGCCAAAGAAAAAGTTCAAGTGTCCACAATGTACAAACACAGAAATGTTGTCTGCTGATGAAGGACACATGGCTACTAGAACATGGTGTATTAATCAATTTGCCGAGATTTATGGAAGAATGCCATTAAAACTCGTTGAATATAGAGCTGATCCTGTTCTTTATAAAGACCTGTTTCCTAAAAAGTTAAAGAGGTATAACAATGTAGGAGACTTGTGATTGATTTGGTGGAGTAGACTGTTTAGACAATGCTCAAATCCGGTGACATTATTAGTATTTTATTCTTCTCAACTTCTTATGTTTTATGTTATTACAATATTGTTGATCTCTTTTGTATTTTTTTTTTTTATTATTATTATTGTAATTGTGTACTTTTAAATATTGCAAATTAGTTGTTTATTACCATGTTTAATATTGAGTATTTTAAAATTAAAACTAGTAAGCATGTTACCATTAATTTTATATAATGTGACATATTATTTTGCATTATTTTAAACTTCTAGCATAAACAAGTAATATAAATGTATTCTCCTCAGTTATGCAAAGAATTAATATACTACTTTTCTTTGTCAACAAACAAATTCATTTTTTATTTTCTTATACCCACTATTTGTCCAGCTATGTTAAAAATAATTGTGCTGCTTTATACAATAATTTAATATAGACTTTTAGTTGATACAATTTGTTTTTTTAAGATAAAAATTGTATTTTGACCATTTGAAATTGTAATTTTTTCGTTTGAATACAATTCAAGTAATAAATAAAACACTAAATTGTTCTTGCCATTTCATATAAACAATCACAGACTCCAACATTTGTATTTTGTACAGGTTAAAATTAATATGATCTTATAACTATTATATTGTGTAGCTATTTATTATTATTATTGTTGGTTATTTATGATATTTGTGTATAATAAAAGTTGAATTGTTGGTAATGTTTGTGAATAAAGAGTGAAGATAATTGATCATGAAACATAATAATTATTATATGAATTAAAAGTTAAAACTATAGTAAAATGTTAAAGACTGCGTTCAACTCTTATTATTGTGATTTTTTGTTTAAACAACACCTTAATACTTATTAAAATGTTAGATTTTATTTTATTGTTCCATAAGACAAAATTTATCAAATGTTCGAGCTACATCGTGCAGGGCGCCACCTTGGAGGTACATTTTAGAATTTTGTGATTGCTTAAATGGTAAACACTGTAAACGTTAACGCCGCCTATCTTCTTTCCGCCGGTGTAGGGATCAAACACCCGCCACCCCTATTTGTTGGCCCTGGGTTTCAAATATTGAATTGTTTATAACGCCGTCATACCACCACTACCACCCGCGCACCCCATTAAACTTTCAACCCCCCTTGTTAAGACTTTCACTACTCTGCAGTCTGCGGCGTTTCTCTACTTGTAGTCCCCGGCCCTGTCTAGAGGTGTACTGCTGTACACAGTTATACGAGGAAGCGGTGCACTGTTTGGGTGAATTTATGCACCGTTGTCGTTGAAATGAAGCTAAAAACAATATCGGAAACAGTCAACAAGAAAGAGCTATTTAATAAGGTAAACGCGCGATGGCATAAATGATTTGATATAGAGAATAACATTTTGTATTTTGTTTACATCACCCTCCAGCCTATTCTGTAACAGGTAGGCCTTAGTAACACGAAAACCCTTGAAACCAAGCTACACTTTTGCATATTATTCGTAAATAAGACATCCTAGTTTTATATCTTAATAATCACTACTAATCATTATGACTTAATATTTCCCATTATTATATTCATTCATAGTGGAGTTTTGTTTTCATGTCGGATCACTTAAAATTGATACAATATATACCATGAATTAAAAATTACTAATATAAGTAGTTATTATAAATAAACAAACATTATAATAAAATAAATTGTAAGTCATCATCATCATGTAGCTTAACAGGCTACGATGACCCAATTTCTTGACAAATTCGCTACCCGAATGGGTCGGCAGAAAGGAGAATAGTAGCTCCTATTAACCGGACAATTGCTTGCCTAGCAAACAGAGCGCCTGAAACCGAGTATCGAACTAACGACATTGAGCGCTAACACACTGCTGTCTTACGCACTCGGCCACTCGTCCTCCTCTGTAGATATAAATATTTGTTATATTCCTTCCATTGTCCAATAACGAGAGACGTCCACCGCACATTAGTTTGCCTGCATCAATTCATCTTCCGTGCATAAGTTGAGGTTCATTGGACATACTAATGGATGTGCCATAGTCTGTTCTCGGTCACATCAACATTCTGTTAATTCGTTAAGTCGTTAAGGTATTCCCATTTAAACATATTATCTTTTGATCTACCTACACATACTCTCATTCTGTTAAGTGTTCTCCATGGCTGCCATTCTAACTCATGTCCTGGTGGTAGCGGTTCGTCTGGCTCTATTCTCCAACTTATATCTGAAATTTGAACTTTACTTATGTTTATTGAACTCGATAATGGGTTTTCTGTTAGGATCTCTTGACACCTTAAGGAAGATATTCCTAGGTGCTACAACATTGGCTGCCTTTTTTTATAATTTGTTTGTTTACTCTTTTTAAAGTCTGCATATGTAGGGAGGTACAACACTTGCTAGTAGATACACTTACTTCACCAATGTATATTTAAGGCATCCTGTAATAATGCGGCAGCTGTTGTTTAGGGCCACGTCCACTTTTTTGGTATGAGTTGACTGAGTTGGACAAGCGTACTCCATAACCGAGAAGCTTAGTGCCAAGGCTGATACCCATAGTGCATGCAGTTTAACACTCCAAGTTGATCCAGTTAGCTTACGAATTAAGCAGTTTCTGGTGTTTATCTTTTTGGTAGTTTTTTCACAGTGTAGTGACCTATCAATATTCACTACTAGTTATAGTGGTGTTTTGCAGTATGTAAGTATTTCTCCTTCCCGGGTAACTTGAAAGTTCCTGTTTGCCTCTTTCTTCTTGAGGTGAAAAGCGCACACATAAGTCTTGCTAAGGTTTGGTTTAAGAAAGTTAACATTATAGTGATTACTCATTTTTTCCAGTGTTTTAGTGAGTTTTTCTTTTATTGTTTCAAATTGATTTCCCTGAACGGCAATTGCTGAGTCATTGATGTATATAAAATGTGTAACGTTATTATCTCTAGAAATTGGTTGGTCATTTGTATACATATTAAACAGCGTTGAGGCCAAGACAATGCCCTGTGATGAACCATTTTTTTTGTTTCTCCACCTGCTTTGTTTGCCTGCTAATATCATGTAGAACCTTCGACTACTTAAAAGGTATAAAGGAGCGGCCATCCCCTCTCCTCTGACGGAATGACTTCTCGTACAGGATAGCGAATCCGTATAGAAATCATCATCTCACGATGGCATCGTTGGGCCTTAAAGGCCCGTTAAGCTGATTATAATGATCATGATATAAACAGATTATATCAATATCTTCTCCACTGCTTATCAAAGCTTATACATTAGCTCTAGTATTACAAAACTTGCAAATAATTCTAGAAGTCTTTTGAGATCAAAATTAAGAAAAAATAACGTTGTATAGACACAAATAAATATTGATTTGAGGACATATAATAACAATGAATGGCAGTTCAGAATTCTTTTTTATGCATGACGAAGTTTATCTAAATTTGTTTTTGCCATTTTAACTTATTGCCAGTTATGTAGTTGGAGGCTGGAGTCCAAGAATACACATTGGTAAAAGAAAAACTGTTGCTGCTGACCAAACATTATATATCTCATTAAAAAAAAAACATATATCATTAACTTAAAATTATAGCCAACGCTAAATATTTAAATGTTTATTATTTTATAAGTTGAGTGAATATTATTCACTTGAAAAAAATACATAATTATACGTACTGAAATTTGTTTTATGGATTATAATTTAAAATGTATGCTACTTCATGTTTAATATAGGTTTGGAACCTTTCTGCAAAACATTGTATGGATGTGGTATTGATGATGTTTTCACATGCAGATGGAACAACACTTCTTGGCACACATAAGCTTGAACAGTTCATTGTAACTACTGAACTTTGCCATTTTACTTCCAAGATGCGCAATCGCCCAGCACTTTACCGTCCGACTGTGGATTGTACTGTTACTAATGACTTTGTTTCAACAGAATTTGAACGCTATATTGATTTGGTTGAAGACACCGTAAATTTATTTATAAAGAATAACTTTTACATTAATTAAATGTTAACATTTCATAATTTTATCACATAGGCATACGAGTTATCAAGTGTTCCTAACAGTGAAGTGCTCGTTATTATTGCCAACAATGAATGCCGCAAATATATATTTGCTTCTCCACGTTTACGCCCTTACATTACTTCTCAAGAATGTATTTCTTTAATTGAGGGTTGCTTGGGAAAAGGCACTTTCGCTGCTCATCAAGGAACAGATATTGATAAATAGCAATTAATAACCTTTGCATCACTAAAAGTAAGAAATACATTATATTTTTAACAATATTAATGATTTTATATTATATTAATTATGGTGTTCCTTATTTACCATATTTTTTAGATCTCAGTGTTGCTAAATGTTTCCTCGTGACATATAATAGTCTTCATGGAAATTTATTTTAAAAGTACCTATCTTGATGCTTGTCTGTATTATCTACATAATAATAATAATAATAATACAAATAATAGAAATAGTAATAATATAACTTCTAGTATAATATTAACTAATGTATTTAGCGAACATTACTTATAGTATTCGGCATTTTCATTTAGTTTTTAAAGCCAAAAGTTACCTGTTTTTTAAGACTTATTATTTTGTGTTTTATATTTTTAATTTTTTTTTTTTAATTATGTTAATTTTTAAAAAAAGTATTTCAAAAAATAAATAGTACTTTTTAATTTAATTTTTTAGTTTGTTTATAGTATGTTTTAAGAGGCTGTACAATTTGCATTAGATCTCATTTTGTTTTGTTTTATTTAATTATTTTTAATTTAAAGAAAGCGTATTTTTTTTTTTTTTTTTTTTATATAAACCCACACATAAGAAACCACAATCCCTACAAGATGTCCAATTTTATGAGATGTACACAAGTAAGACTGGATAGTAAAGCACTAATTACCCTTTATTTAATTATATTATTTCTTTTAATTAAATTAATTTGTGTGACTTTTTGCAATTTCATTATAAAATATTAATAAGGTTTTTTTCTTATCTAATTTGTGTTTTTTTTTTTTTGTTGATATCTGTCAATTTTTTTGTCTTAAATAAATTATTATAACTGTACATCATATTAATTTCATTGTGTTTTTTCTTCTTGTTAATATTATTATAGTCAATAAGTACTATAGCAATGTTTATTAGATTGATTTTATTACATTCCACTTGTATCTAATATCAAATAAAAAATGAGATAAAAGATGGTTTTTTGAATTAAACTTTAATAATTTAATGTAATTTTGAAACTCTAAGGCCCGTTTCACACATACACAATTCCTGTGTATACATGTAAACCGTCACGGGAACCGTGTATGTGTGAAACGGGCCTAATTGCTAATTATAAAAAAATCTAGATGATTAAAGATAAAAAAAAAATTTTTCAACCGAAATTAATGTGGTTTGGTAAACCACGATTTTATTAATTTATTGGAATAATGAGCAATGGAATAGTGTATGACACAATGTATGATTATTTGTGATTTATTAAGCTTACAATATAATTAGAAATTAAAATAAGATGACTGTAAAATCAGTAGTTATTCCTATATTAGTTATCTACGGACTATGTAATATTAGTGTCAGTTAAAATCTGACATCTCTCTTTTTTTTTTAGTATCAGTTCTTGTTTGTAATAAACAATACTTGAGAACCTCATTAGAACTAATTAGACCTCATTAAATAGTTATTAAGATCTCTAACACTTAAAAGGACGTCGTACAGACAATTTTCCAAGTTCAAACCTATCTTACAGTATGCATTTTAGTCGCTCCGTGATGATTTTAGAACAAAAATACTTATAATAAACACGAAAGATGACAAGATTTTGGAGATAATGTCATATATTTTTTTGATAAACCTAATATTTAACATTTAAAATCACATTCTTTTTAGCCCCCATAGAAAAAATAGTAAGCTTCGCATAAACAAAATAAAACTTGAAATCTGTCCAATAGATAAAGCCAGAAAATGACTTCTACGAAAGTCATTTTTTATCAAACTTTTGTCAAACTTGGAGAAAAATAACTTTAAAAGTAATATATTTAGAAATTTTTAATATGTGTTCGCCTTGAAATTAGTAGACTTATAAAAAATAGCTATTAGTAAAATTGTTGTCCAATATTACTTATCCTTAGCCCCTTAATAAATAACCGGTGATTTTCAGTGGTAAAAACATGTTTACGCCAACTGAAAATAACTCGATTAATTTTGGTTTTAGAGTAAAAGCACCCATTATAAAATTAAAAGAGAACTATGTTCCGGAGGGCAAGACGGTAGACATATGTAGAGATGAAAAACCATTTTTAAATCGCTTTCAAAGATGCTGTGATAGTCAAAAAAATAAATTAATTACCAAAATAGAGTCCTATTTTTTGAACTAATAATTACACATCACAGTTTAACCTTTAAATTAAGATTTTGTAAAAAATTGCCTATACTTTACTCCTTAAAAGTGGGTGGTGCGACGCACTTTTAAGCTTTAAATTAGGATTTTAAAAAAAATTCCCTATACCTAACTCCTTAATAAATAGAGGGTATAACGTCCTCTTCACTAATAATTGTATTTTTTTAACATTAATTATTATTTTTTTATTAAATTTTACAAAATACAGATTATAATTATTAATTTTTAATCATTCATATGCCGTAGCCCATATAGTACAGAGTACTATAAAATCTATAAAATATACCAATTACTATACTAGAGTATGGTAATAGATTTTGAATTTTTATGTATTTAGAGTGGTTATAATATAATTAGATTATGTTACCGTAATGGTTAGGGATTTATCCGTTAACAACTTCAGACCTTGTGTTCACATGATTTAGTGATATGAAGTTAGAATCACTAATGATAATACGTAAAAAAAAAATATTTAACTCGGATTTTAGCCATTCCAAAATTAAGTTACTCGTGTCCGAATAGTCATAACATGGATTCGGCTTCGTAGTTGTGTCTTATTAATTGTTTTAAAGTCTGCTGACTTATTAATTATGATTGACTGAAGTAAATATTATATAAATTATCACCAATGGAGTTATTCGTACATTCTTCGGTATACTTATATTGGTAAGTAAAATATACAATTAAGTATGAAGTACACACCAACCCTGTGTAAATATTTTAATTATTTTGTGTAGACCAACGGAATCCACAATGGCATTTTGGTATTTTGATAAGGATGAAATACGTCGAACTGCCTCAGCCCAGGACGGTATACCATATGAACTTGAATCTCGGTATCGGCAAGAAGGAGCACGATTTATTATTGATGCTGGAACTAAGATGGACTTGGGATACAATACCATGGCGACTGGGGTTGTATATTTTCATCGTTTTTATATGTATCATTCATTCAGCACATTTCCGCGTTACGTAAGTTTAATTTTCATTTAATTTATATTTTAAAGCATCCTAAAACTATTCATAATAATAGTTTGTGTTGTATGTACGTTACAGACCTACGTATAACATGTGGGCTTATGTACTAGAATGTACTCTACAATATATTTTAGAACAAATTTACTCTACCGGACACGCTTTTTTTTTTAACATATAGAATTTTTTAAGTTAATTATGAATCTGGAATCAGAAGTTTGGACTTCTCTAGTTCAAAAGTTACAGCTACTTGAACTTAAATAATATTGTTGCGACGACGACAGTATGGTTCCCGTGGTTACAGGCTCTGGAAACTAACCTAACCAACCTAGCTTCTGACCCACCCCTCTAAAAGACTGATGAAATAATCATGAGTCCGGCAAAAAAAAAAATCACAAAGAGCGGGGTCTAATTCTGACTTCATATTTGTAATCAGCATAAAAACAGTATAATATAGAAAAAAAAGTTACAAAAACAAGGTGTCCAGTAAAATAAATTAACGCCTAATTTTTAGTCAAATTTTTTCCTAATATTAATTTTTTGATAAGTAGCATAATACACATTTTTTCTAATATTTTAACTAAATTACTTAAGTACTGTTTTAACTACTAACTTAGTGTAGAACAATCATTTTTCATTTATTTAGTCTGAATTGTATCTACAATTTTTGCTACATATTTTTTACTTAATTACTTGATTTTTGAGTAATGGTCATTATGGTGGTAAATGCAAATCTACTGTTAAGAGTCGGGATTGGCAGAAAACGTAGATATAACGCAACCCCTACGAATAAATTTACATCTGATTATTAATTTTATTATATTCATGTATTGTAGTAGTTTTTGCTTAAATTTTTCGTTTTGTTACTAATTATTTCAATGTATATTGTGGTTTCAGTTAACAGCGTGTTGTTGTTTGTTTCTGGCTGGTAAAGTTGAAGAAACACCAAAAAAATGTAAAGATATAATAAAAATAGCAAAAGCATTATTGCCTGAAGATAAGTACGAAACTCTCGGACTTGACCCAAGGGTAAGTTATTTAAGAAACTAACAATTTATTTATGTATAATATCTTTAAATAAATATTAATTTACTATGATATTTTTTTGTGTTTACGCACAATATCTTTGGAACTTCTGGCTGTTAGATAAGTATAAAGCAAACACAGTTAAAAGCTAGCACAGTATATTCTAGAACAGAATAAACCAAGTATGGTATAAATTAGCAAAGCAATATAAACCCAGTAATCTATTTGAAAGTAATTATCACTGTCAAAGGCTTATTGCCATTCTGTGGATGTCTAACTTCTTTCTGTGCTGTTTTTCTCTGTGCTTGGTTTATACTGTGCTTAATTTTGTTACTTTTGGCGTGGTTATTAAGTTAGACAAAATTATAAGTACTAAACATTATTTTACTTTGATTTTATAAAAATAACTTAAAAAATATATTATATTGTTATAGGAAGAAGTGATGGTACTAGAACGAATATTATTACAAACAATTAAATTTGATTTGCAAGTTGATCACCCATATCAGTTCCTTCTTAAATATGCAAAATGCTTGAAAGGTTAGTTTTGAGTAAAATAACAATTTACATGGCATAAGTGTTTTATTAATAATATAATTTCATAGGCGATAAAGCTAAGCTTACTAAAATGGTTCAAATGGCATGGACATTTGTAAATGATAGGTAAATATAAAAATTATCTGATTTCAATATTAATAATAGTTTAATATTGACAAGTTAATATTACAGTTTATGTACTACGCTTTGTCTTCAATGGGAGCCAGAAATCATTGCTGTATCGTTGATGTATCTTGCATGTAAATTAAGTAAATTTGAACTTAACGATTGGCAGGGCCGTACGTCTAATCATTTACGTTGGTGGGACATGTTTGTTCAAGGAATGAATATGGACTTGCTTGAAGGTAAATTAAAAATGTCATTTTATTATTATTACTCAATTTTAATTAAAAAAAAAAAAATATATTGTTTTTTAGATATTTGTCATCAAGTACTTGATCTGTATTCTTCCCCTGTTGAAAAATCAGCGCCACTATCTCCTCCATCTCATGACAAATTTGTGGTACCTAAGAAAGTTGTACCTCCCCAGTCAATCTATCAGAAATTATTGTTACAAAAAATGGCTGATAAGTACAGTAAGTATAATAATTATTTTGCAATATTAAGTGTATGAATTAAAGCCAATGTTGCATATATGCAATTATATTTTCTATCTAATTATTTATTTTTCATTTCTTCAAATGTTGAGTTGTAATTTATATTATAGGCCTCACACCCGAACAGGCAATGCAAGCAGCAATGACCAAAAATGTTAAATTGTTATCTACGCAAGTTTATAGCACACCAACAAAATCAATTTTACCTATGCCACCAGGAATTAAGCCTCAAACAAATTCTACTATTATGTCGTCAAAACCTCAGACTATACAAAAACCATTTTTGCAACCACCTCCTATACCGCCAAAACTTTTGTTGCAACAACCATCACAAAAACGTCCTCCGTTACCATCAACTAGACCACCATTACCTATACGGCCACCGCCACCTCCACCTCCATCGCAACCACCTCTTCCACCAACACCTAATCAAATAATAATGCCTCCACAAGGTGTTGCGCCATTACCACATCCACCTATGCAACCGCCACCTATGCCTCCTGGAAATTTCCCCATGTACCCATATGCTCCACTTCCAACAAATCCAGCACAACAGTTTGCTAATCATATGTTTCCGCCCCAACCGCCTAATATGATGCCTACTACCTCATCATCGTTCCGTGGCCATGAATCGATGACTTCTATTGGTGTTCAGTATATGAACGAAGCACCCCCCTCTAGACCTCCTTACAATGAAAAATACAATCAAAGAGAAAATTTGTCGCATCCACCAGTGCAGTCGTATAATGAATATGATATGCAAGATGGAGGATTTCAAGATTCATATGATGAAAACAGACAAAAGTATATTGATGGACGATCGTACACCCGTGAAGTTGCGTACGGTGCGTCAAATTATGGCAATGGTCAGCATTATAGTGAAAGTGCTCAACATTTTAGCGAAAGTAGTCAGCATTACAGCGATAGTGCTTCACATTATTCAGATGCTACTTATCAACAGTATAGAGGCAGTGGTCCTCCAACCAATCGGAATTTCAATAATAGAAATAGTCGTCCTCCTCCTACTTATCAAAGCAGACAAGTTCGAAATCATCCTTATCAGAAACGATAGTGTGGGACTCGTCTATATTTAAATATGATGATATAATATACAATGAAAGGTAATTTAGCACTTTAAAAGTAATTGTCCATTATTGTATTCTCTTATAAGTGTTTTGACTGTTGTAGGTACAAAATACCTATGAAGGTATTTTTTTTTTAAATTATAGGATTTCTGTTATTTTAGTTCAATGACTGAATTGTAATTAAATTTTCGTTAACATATTTGTAAATAGGATAATTTGATGTACAATTTTGTTTAGTTTCTTTTAGGTATGTCTAATATACTAATTTACCCAAAACTTTAATCTAAGCAGTATAGTTATTATTATTAATCATTGTTTTCCCTTGGAGATATAAATTATAATACTGGTTTTGGGTTTATAATAATTCTTTTTCCTATTTTGTTATCTATAAGATAAATAAAGTTTTAATAAAGCCAAACAAAATATTAGTAACTATCTTGTTTACCACACTATTTGTATTAGCAGTCAAAAAGAATAGAAGAATAGTAATTTGGTGTTATTTATGGTAACAGTTTTTTTCTTTGTTACTTTCGACCTATAATCAAAACCAATTTATAAAATTAGTAGGCGTTCATTTAAAGCTTTAATGCCGAGTTGCATAAACGTTCACTAAATGTTTTATAAACCAATAGATGTTTAGTGATTAAAACATAATTTAGTGGCCCGTGATTGGTCCATTAAATTTTAATGAACCATTAAATTTATTAAAATTATGTCCATAGATTAAACAAAAAACTATTACAATAGTATTAAAGAGAGAAATTTGGCATAATGTTATTGTCAGAAAAGCTGTACAATGTTAAATACTTGGCTTAACAGCATTAGTTTTTTGAAGTTAAAACCAAAATTTAAAGAATAGATTAAAATTCTATGTGATATATAAGTAGTTATCTAGTTGGTGGGCATAGAATAGTAACTGGGTTTCTCTATCTACCATACTTATATTTTATGAATTTGTATTGGTTACTCTCTAGCATACTGGTTGTCATGGTCACCGTTATGTTTTATAAACAAGCCTGTGTTTGAATATTATTTAACGAGTACAGTTTACAATAATTTCTTAAAACAGATCAATATTCTTATATGAATATTTGAATGCAGTAATTTTTAATTCTATTTGAGTGTAAAGATCGAATCACATTTAATTCTAAAAAACGTGAAATTTTATGACGAGAGTATAGCTGTATTTTACTATTTAGTTAAAATCAATTTCAGTTCAGACAAACTAAATATCTTATCTAAACTTAAGTCTTAAATGGTAAACCCATAAAGAGTAACGACGGTTGTGATAACTGATAAGCCTTATCTTTATGTTTACTAAAAGCCAAAAGGCTACTACAATTATTATAATTTGTTGTAAGGTCTATGATATTAACACTACTTCAAAACTTACTATTGTTAAGGATATAACTATTTCAAGTTTTAAAATTTTGTTTGTTTTTATTCTGTCATAGACTATAGTTGTAATAATTGATCGAGAGTTTAGACTATCCGTTTGTTCACTTATTAATTTTATGTTTAAAAATATTCGATTTTTTTGTGATATTTAGTTCAGAAGATGTCTGACAACGGAATGGCTTCGGGAATGTTTTTAGTTTCGGTTATTGGCCAAATTGAGAAAGCTCATTTCCCTGAATTTGATAATATGTATTGCAAATATGCATTTGTTCACGGACCCGATTGGGAAATTGTTACTGTGAGTGCAACCTCTTACATGAATATAATATACGTTATTGTAACTATTTTAAATATTTTATTAGATTATTTAAAATCAATAATTTCACTAACCTCTTTTTTCTATTATGTGAATTAAAATTTTAAATTGGCAGGGTATGGAAGAAGGCATTTCCCAAATAGCTAAAAAAAGTCAAGATGAAAGACAACTAGTTGTATGGAATTTTCCGTTAGATGCTTCTTTTAGAAGTACCAATCCTCATGGATGTATGTTTATTTAACTAAATTTGATTAAAAGCACTTAATGAAAAAAAATGAATGAGCACATCATTTTAATTCGTAGTTAAATTGCAAAAGCTTCGATGCAAGACTACCAAGTTTTATACTATTTGGGCTACGTTATAGAAGTTACATTGTAATCATCACAATTTAGAATATTCATTGCTAGGTTTTTTTAAGTAATATAAAAAATACAATTAGTAAGGTTAATCGTGCTTATCACATTAGTTACTAATACACTATAAACAATAATAAAAAATTATAGTACCTAATAGGTACTATAATTTTTTATTATTACATATACTACCTATGTACTATTCTATAGCTATGCACATACATACATTTATAAGATAAATTGTGTGTTTTGAAATTAACCACGCTATAGTACATTTTATTTATATGTTAACACCAAACACAGGCTATTAGAGTAGATTGATTAACAAGTTACAAGCATACTATTTATATAATTATATTAAATTTGATTGGGAATGTTTTATTAAGAAAACGCTCAACAGCGCTTATTTAAAAGCTGACAATTTTCCAATAATTATTACAATAGTCTTATGAGTCATTAGTTTTGGGACTAGGACAATTTGGTCTACTAATAACATACAAATTAGCTCCCTTTGGTTAGCTAATTAAAAATAATGAATCTAACAAGCTTAAGAGCTCCTTAAACTCTCCCCACTGGTCTAGTACGCTACTGAGGCTCGTACTAAATTATGAAAATGCTAATAATTATTCTTGAACCAATTTCAGTTTGCTCTGTGAGCTTCTGCAATACAACCAAATATGTATACAAAAAACATAAACTTGTAGATTCATTTTTATAGGCTAATTTCTACGTTAGTGGACACATCTATTAGAAATTAATTATTTTTAAATATTGATTATACAAAATTTTCGTGACTAATGCAAAGGTGAGTTTTTAATTTATAAAATTAATACCAGAATATTTCTTGAACAAATCGCTTTACATGTTTTTGTATGTATATCATTTTTTTACTCAATATCGTTTTGAAAAACCACAAACATCAATTGAAATGTTTATGCCGTAAATTATACAACAGTACATATTATGTTTTTTTGTTATAATGTGTGTTTACAATTCTCCTTAAAAATAAATTATGTAGCACCCTCTTCAAATAGTGTGAAAACTCAACTAAACAGTAGTTAAAATGGTTGTTTCTTGTCTCATCTTTTCATTTCGGTTCTGGAGAGTAATAGTTTTAGAAATATTAAGTCGCCCAACCAGAAGTGACGTTGGGGACAGTGGGGTAGGCCCCGCTATTGTTGTCCATCTTGGGCCACTAGGAGACTGTTACTTAGCTTTTCCAAGACAATACACTTATATTAATTCATTTTAACGTATCAGTAATTAATATTTATATCTGCAGGGCCCCAACTGATCATTAGCGTTTATGGTTTGGATACATTTGGAAACGATGTTGTAAGAGGCTATGGAGTGTGTCATCTTCCAATTGTTGGAGGTAAATCATGTAAAAAGTTAGTATAATTGATAAATTCTTAATAATATGAATGAAAGTGGCAATGTTTTCTTATCCGTGAATGTATATTTTATATATATTAAGCATATCTATGTTCGTACCTCAATCCAGTTCCTTGTTACAAAAAGTTACGTCGTGGTTGACTGGCAGGAGACCTGAATATGTGGATGCACGATTATTAGCTAGAGGAGACGGAAGAGAAGGTATATTTTCTGATTTAATTATGATTTATTATTTTAAGTGCCAAAGAATAATAAATTTTCAGTAACAAGAGTCAGAAGTCAAGGAAGTGTAACTGTAACCTTGGATGTTATTTTTAAAGATTTCCATCAATATGGTTTTGAAAATGGTTCTTAAATGACAAACAGCTTTGACAACATTTGTCCATTTAGTTTAATACATAAAGAATTACTAATTTTATATAAATCAAACATCTTTAACTTTAATATTTTTAAAAGCTATTATTTGATAACATTTTTTTTAACCAATTAAAATATAAAATTTAAAATAATTTTTAAGTATTCCTATTGATTTTAATTGTAGTATGACTCCTGTAATGTACTCATTACAATTTTATTAATGTAACCTAAACTAGTACTATTTATTAATCTGAGTCATCTGTCATTATATTTCTTTTAGATAATAGAAATACATAGACCCTTCATTATTTTGTTTTAGAAAACTAGTGTATAAAAAATACTTTTTTTCATAATATAACAATAAGTTTTTTTATTTTTTGAGAGATCTATAAATCCTAAGTTTTTACAGATCTATAATAATTATGTGGTAAACAATACCGAAAATAAAAAATACAGTTAAATAAATTATTTTTCAAACAGACATTTTCCATGAATTTTTTTAATGGTATGCACAAAAGAATACAATTTTATTTAAAGTTAATTTTAATAAATTAAGTTTTATCATGAATAGGTTTTTTTAAAATATATGTAAATATAATTCTCTAAAACATTGATTTTCTGCTCTAAACTTATATTTAATATAAATATATCCACAATCATAAAGGTTATAATTACATATGTGTATTATGTTTCACTTATTTTTAACAATAAATTAGGTGATAAACTAATTAAAAAATAAGGAACAGCTTGTTTGGTATACAGTTGTATATTTGAAAAAAAACACATTGGCCCAATAAAGGATTGTACTTATAAGTAACAAATTTTTACTAAAAAAAATGCATTATATTATAATAATAACATAAGACTTAAGAGGACGCTACACTCCTATTTATTAAGCTTTTCGGTATAGGTTAGGTTTGCAAGTTTTTTGCAAAATCTTAATTTAGAGCTTAAACTATAATGTATACTTATTAATACAGTAATGAGAATTCTTTATTGGTTGTTAATTTTTTTTTTTAGACCATCACAGTCATTTCTATAGACATAATTACAATTGTTTGACCTAAAAGGTTAAAACCCGTTTCGAAGCGATGAGAATCACTCTCATTTTGGCTACAGTTTTTAGACAAAAACCGAATTTTTTCAGCATAAAGATTATAACACTATATGTGTTTGTATGTTGGTTCTTCTCTATAGCAATAACACATTCCGTTTTATTAACAAATGAATATTTGTTTTTTTATCATTTTTCTAAGACTTGTAAAAAGTGACAGGATTAAAGTTGATGTAAAAACCAACATACAAAACACAGGTAAAGTGATTATAGTTTAATCTTTATGCTGACATAATTTGGCTTTTATCCGATCACTGTAGTCCAAATGAGAGCGATTCTCCAGAGCCGTGATTGTAGGCCGTAAAAAACTGGTGTACAGCGTCCTCTTAAGGGTTTGCTTCCTACAATAAATATGTACAAATAATAATTACTTATTTACATTATAAAAAAAATTTGACTTGAATTTTATACACTAAGTTAAAATTATACACAAACACTATTTTTTGGTAAATTTTCAATTGCCCGAGTAACGTTGCACACATTATGTTGAATAATAATTGTACGGTATCTCCATTGTATGCTCGGATAGATATTAGCTTAATACTTAGTTTGACTGTTGTGTGAGTAAGTTGAGCAACTCTTCCTGATCCATGTGTATCAACGATTCCATGTCGATGCCTAACTCCGAGGACAGGTTTGGTATGTCGACCCCGAAGGATTGAAGAAGCTCGATGAAATCAACTTCTTCGCCTAAGTGAACAATATCAGTGTTAGTCAATTAAGTGTGTAATACATACGAAACGTGATTTACCTGTGGCCGGATTTTGAAGTTTTGGACATGAATTGTTGCACTGTGGCCAAGTACAACTCTGAATATGTTGATGTCGACAAGCTCCACGTTTTCTATTATGGCGCCGACGTTTTCTCTGCATTCTGTCTTCATCGTCAGACACTATTGAACAACAAAGTCATAAATAATAATAAGTTATCTAAATCTTTATTGTAATTTTTTTTATTTGAACAAATAATAACATTTTACATTTTTAACTATATTTTTTAAGAGTAAAGACTGTAAAAAATGTATACCTTTTTTGTAAATATTACTACAAATTCGTATAAATAATTTAGATCTGCCGTTTCCTATCTATTTAAACAGATTTCTAGGAATAATAGACCATTTATAAAATTCAGATTATGGTGGTAATTAGGGCATACAGATTAAAATGCACGAAAAAATACTTCCAAAAGTATTTATGACCTAAATTTAAAAGGAGGGTTTTATAAATGACCCAAAACCCTTGAAAATTATTCAAAACAATGTAATGTTCCAAAAAATGTTTTTACAATAATGTTTTACTATTTTCGTGTCCATGATATTTCTCAAACCACTGAACCGATTTCTTCATGTAGAAAGTCCATATATCAGACATCACACATCGGAGGGCAAGACACACATCGAAAGGTACTTTATAAGGCCAAAACCTTAAAGTCGAAACAAACAAAAAGTTTTCACCCATCCTAAAATCTAATTTAATCCGTACAACAACGTAGATAATGCCATGCAATTGCACATACTTCTGGAACGTTGTTGACCGTTGTTCTTGCGATGTAGTTTTTGTTTTCTCCTCGGATCTTTACCGACCGACTTGTCCGTTTTGGTCACTCTTTTGCTGTCGCCGTTCCTAAGGTTTTTGTTGATTTTTGCAAATCTAGTTTCCGTCTGCCAACAGTGTAACGCCAACGGCAAAGACACCGAATCGATTTTAATGTTCTTCCAATCCCTTTTCGTCAGAACCGTATGAGACACACACGACGGGGCGAACACGGCCCTAATAGCGGACAACAGCCATATTAATGCGATATAATTATTTAGTATGGCTTAAATGTATATTTAACGCGAGTGACAATTCATTATTTTCTTTATCGTTACCGAAAAGCTCAAATCCTAAACTCGGGGATGGGTGTACTCACGTGACGTTAAGCAACGATTTCCTCAGGCCTTCGCCCATCTTGTGTATGTAATCCCATTGCTGTTTGGTGACCGGAGTGCCGACGTCGTTTTTCAACTGGAATTCATCATACAGCCATTGGAAAACGAACAGTGGAACTATAAGCGGGGATCGTGACGGTGTAAATACCATAGTAGAGCGTATGGGTACAGTAGGTTTACAGTTAAAATGTTTTTTATCAGTATTACTGACCCGAAAGCGTGGGGTAAATCTTGTAGCCGATGAAACACTTGGAGGGCTCGTTGGTGTACAGGTTCCGGCATTTCGACGGTATTTGACTGTGCCAGTAAGGTATGCCCAGTTTGACGGCTTCTATGGGCGAGGCCGAAGTCAGTTGTTCGTCCTCGAAGTCGTAAGGCTGTTGGTCCATAAACCAACCGGAGTCTGTAATGCCGTGCACCGACATACCGGTGTATCGGCGCAACATCTTTTGGATCGGATCCAGATTCAACATCACTCCCACACCACCGGCACTGCAAGTATAGCGGTAACGACAATTTGAAAACCAACAACAATGACATCTACCATCGCGCGCGGTTGTTAAAAAGATCAAACACGAATAGATATTAAAAGTATATTTCGAGAGCGTAGAGGTGCTAACCAACCTGCTACCAGACAGAATGAGCGCATCGGCGTTGGCTAGTCCCATGGTCAGCAGTTCCCTGATGACTTGTTTGATTACAATAGAACCCATAAAAGTGAACTTGGATCCGTGTTGAGGTTGAGCTCTCCGACCGGACCATATGTCGCTCGTGCAGTAAGGCACGAATCTAAAAAAATCAACGACACAGTTTGTTCTTAAAATGTGCAATTGTTTTTCTCAAAATAGACAATAAGTAATAACGTTTCGGGTCTCTTCGGTAAAGTTCATATAATTGTACATAGGATAGTACACATATCGATTTTTGCAAAAAAATAGCCATTAATTAGAAATAGCGTACAAGTCATTCATATAGGTACTTATTATAAAATTGGTATCCAACTGAAAAATATATTCAAAAATGTAAAAAAAAAACTCGGAAAAATCTGAATTTTTGTCGGTTGTTATTTAGTTATTATTTACTGTGAATTTTACGTAATCAGAATAGTCTAATTATAATAACGAAATTAGACTACCTACCTAATTAACGTTTTAAAAAACACAGGTAATTACTGATAACCAGTGGCCGACCCTATTTACGGGGAGTAAAAAACAAATGTATTAATTAAAAAAAGTATATTAAGTTTTATCAGAAGTCAGAACTGATTGTCAATAAAATATTGTTACCAAGCAGATCCACGTAGTGTTAACTACTTTAAGGAAAGTTTGGTACGGGGATTTTACATTAAAAAAAAATATAAGAATCGAAGCAATAGTTTGTTCCGCTATGACGTTTTAGCTTATTTCTTGTAGATAGTCTACTACAAATGTTATACACCCCTTCCCTCCATCTCTGAAAGTAGTTTCTATTGCTGCATTACTAATAATAATACTATAAATGAATTTCTTCTAGTAAACTTTTTGAAAGTAAGTTATCTGATACTCACACGTGATTTGCCTGCCACCAGTATGGATTTTCGATCGCGTTGTTGGACAGTATACCTCCAACTAAACGGACACACAAACAATACGGTTAACTTGACATAGCTGGCAAAGGCTTTTAATAAGATACGCCACACCACCCGTATTTGGGCCGTAAAACGACTAACCTATTCGTCGTGAAACTACTAAAATGTTTAAAGAACACAAGGAAGAACTTTACCTGTGTCGTAGCGTTTATATTTTTTTGATAAACGCCACATGATTTATTCGTAAAGATTGATGTTTTTTTTTCTATGTATTTGGAAATTTTCGGTAAATCTACTGTAAATACTGCCCTCATAAGTTTGTCCCGCGTAAAACAGTTTTGGTGAAAAAAAAATTATTTTTCCTATGAAAATTACCGTGATAGTCTGACAGTAGATTAGTACTGATTTTTGCAAAACATTGCCTATACTTTAAACGTTAATAAATAGCTGGTGTGGCGTCCTCTAAATAAAACAAAAAATCCTATACCTATTCTGGTCTCCGGCCATTCTTTGGACGACATCAGGTACTCGGCTCGCGACCACCGTTCATCACAGCTCTGTTTGTCGTAGCAACACCATCCCTCTGCAAGATAACAACCCGTTTGTTTATTATAATCGACCACCGTTAAAATTCGACTCACCTTCGAGGAAAACTATCCACGTTTTACTGTAGTTCGAATGGCGCATATAAAAACTAAAACACAACATCGGAGACCAACAAATTAATCTTTACTCTATATACCTAGTGTATATAAAAATACTCACCCTGCCGGAGATCCGTCATTGCACGTAACGTCTGGAGAGAGCATGTACTTTTTCAAAAACTTTTGCTCCACGTTTTGCGGTTCTACATAATTAGAATCCTGAAACGCCAGTCGTACAGCAAGTTATTTTATTTACAGCCGTTATCATTACAGTTAACATCACAACGATCAACGTTACCTGTCCATCGTGGCCTTCTGAAGTCACTCGGTAAGTCAGAGGATTGACCGAGTCGTCTTCCGCATTAATTTTCCTGGCTAAGAAAACGCCTGATATAACGAGTAATATCTGCAAAAAAAAAAAAAATATATACATATATATATATTTACATGTAATCGTGGGACTTACAGCGCACAGGCGATGTGTGTTATTTTTCATGGTTTTTGTTTTTTTTTAATTAAGCGCTAAATCGGTTCAATATTGAACTGGCGCTAACTTTTTACATCAGCTATATTGTTTTCACTATTTTTAACAACAAATCTGCGTGTAGTAAAAAAATATTTGTAGTTATTGAATTTTAGAGTTATTGTACGCTTTGTTTTTTGTTGATGGACAACACGTTTGTTTCGAAAACAATTAACCGTCGATCGACAGTTTTATAAAATAAAAATAAATAACAATCTATCACCAGCGGCGGTGAAGGCGTTTTTTTCTTTGGACCGGCCGGCCAGCAGAGGCATATAATCGGTAACGGCGGCTAAACATGAAAGGAATTACTGACCTCAGCCCATGCCATGCCGCTAATTACATGCTAAACAAATTGACCGACAACTCGCCTTGAACACGAACTCTATTTCTTTCATAATACCATTTTTTCTTCGTGTTATTTTCCAATCGAACTGACGTTAATCATTTTTCCCCATTAGAATATATTTCTATGTAAATACTTTTCCCGTTTATAAATTATAAGCCGGCATTTAGCTTTATCGCGTTGTGATTTAAGGTCTACCTATAATATTCTCCTTAATGCATTTTTACACTATTAATCTTAATGCATAAGAGTCACACAGCTTCTGATCTTCGATAAAACTACTTATCTGACTAAATACGATTAAAATTATTTACCGAGAAAAATATTAAAAAAAAAAAAAAAAACTATTTTATATTTTATTTATATTTTAGGAATACATTTTGTATGTATTTATGAAAGCTTAGTTTAATAGGTCTGATTTAAATGGCCAAAAATACCATATTTTGTAGGCTTTATGTTTGAACAGCAAAGTAAAGTTGGATTACTAATCTATTAATGAAATAAAAAAATTGATACATTTACACTTTACTCTAATACATAGCCTCCAGGAGTAAAAATAAAACTTATCCGGAGGAGATATGGACATTTCAACAGCCGATTTTTTTTAAATACATTTTTTAATAATCTCATGTCGGGTTGCATAAAACTGTTACTTTTCCTACAGGTAAAATAGGCTATAATGGTCCATGAAATAAATGTAATGAAGCAATGAAACTAGTGATTTTGAATTTTGGTACATTTGCAATCTCCATTTATACATTTTGAATACAATAATAATAATAATAGCGTTCGTTAAAAGATCAAATTGGAGTACATTTCCTTAAATTTTTGTCCAACTATAAAATCTGGCCCCTATGATTATGGTCGCCAATTATATACTACATATTTTTTGCTTTGAAATACTAACATTTTTTTGTATAAAATTCAAGTTTGTTTCAATAGGTTTTCTGAGAACTAATACACTCGAGATTCTATAAAAAAAAAAAATGATTATATACAACGCGCAAAACTAGGTTTTTAGAAATCTCTATTCTTTTACGCTGATTTCACTCATAGTATTTTTTAGTTTTGAACCCTAATGCCTACAGGGCCCTCCTTTTTAGGTTTTACGACCGTCTAAGCTCCCTATAGCATTTTATTTTTTTTCTTCTTAATTTTATGACATGACAAAATGTAGATACTTAACCGCGTTATGCCGGTGGGCCTAAAGACTCTTATTATTTCTAAAAGTTACACACGTTTCTTAGTACACAAGAACGGCCGTCAGATTAGAAATATTCTGTAACGGTTCGTTTAGAACAGAATATTTAAGTTTTAAGTACTGGGCGCGTGCAATGTTTCTAGAAGATATTCAAAGAAAGTGACCAACAATTCAGAAATCAGTATTTATCAACGGTTTATGGGTACCCCTATGTTTACCGCCAGCATTGAAATTGTAATAAAATTCGAAAAGTATGAACAACCAGGTACTATAAAATACCGATGGTTCGTGTTAGGTTAGGTTATGCGACGTGCTCGCAAGTAATTATTATTTTATATATATTGTCAATAAAAAAAAAATTTTTTTTTTTTGGCCTTTACGGAGACTTTAACGGTATAATTACTATTTGTCGGAAGTACACGTGCGAAGCCACGAGCGGAGTAGGAAAGGAGATGTTAACAAAAAAGGGGAAGGACGAAGAAGGGAAGCGGTCTAAGCACAAAAAAAAACGGGTCGATGTCACTGATCCTCCACCGCCGGCGATTACATAGTAATTTAGCCGCTATAGAAAACGTGAACAAAAAAAACCGCGTTGTTTACGATGTTGTTGCTGTTTCTGTTGTTGTAAATCCATATAATAAAATATATTGTGCCTCTGTCATGTTAACAAACCGATACAGATCTTACTACTGTTATCACACAGTACATTATGTACCGGAAGTTGTGAATACAGTGACAAGACACATTATAATATTGAATGATAATATTAATTACCACTGCAAAGAATTCAATAATCGACGTCACTTGATTTTCTTCTTGTTTCCCTAAGATTAGTTTGTTGCAGCTCAATATTATGCATCCCTTGGTTGGCTCTGTAATTTTTTTAGGTCCTTGTATTTTTCTTTGTTCGCGTCCTTCGTAATTTCAGTCATATACTCCGCCCTTGGCCGTCCTCTTCCAATGTATCCTTGAACATCTCCCTCAATTATCGTTTTTAATAAACTTTAATCATATCATCTTATCTCTTCTAGATTGGATACATTGCCATAATTGCCGGGTTTCCCCTATTCGTTTGTTGAACTCGTTCAGTGCGTGGGATCTAAAATATTTTTTTTTGAAGCACCACATTCCAAAGGCCTCCAGTTTATCTTATTCTACTGAGCTAATTGTCCAGGTTTTGTTGCCAAACAAAACAGTACAGGGTACAGGGTACAGGGCTAGTACATTGTACTAGCTCTTGTTATTTGTACAAAATGTATCATATTTGTTGACATTTTTTTTTTTTGCTTAGGTATAGTACTCGGTTAATATTTACATTTTTACATGAGGTTGGAAACTGAGTCTGAAAAAGAATCTCGTCAATTATACACTATGTATGTTATTACATCGGTTGTTATTCTTTCCACAAAAGTCCGAAGCATAGTATAACTTAATACAAATTAATCGAATGCCTTCATACTCTTTACTTGTTACCGCGTTGTGTTTTTACCATGTACTCATCGGAAGCAATAGTAAAGCTTGATATACAGGCGAAGACTACTTTCGAGACTAAAGTAACAAATCGTTTTCCTCTTTTGTCACATTATTATTATTATTATTTTTTTGTTTCGCATTGGTACGGAATGTCTTTGGCAGCTGTTTTTACAGCTAAATATATAATATAGATACAGATCTAATTACAATACCTCGGCCGTCGCTCTATGTTAATTATCCATTTCTAAAACTTCCTGACCGTGCGAAACCGTTAGCCGGTTTTTCGAAATTCTCGGAAAACGATCATTCTACATTGTAATATATTATTATGCCGTTTGCTTGCCCTTTCGCGGCATTCCAACACAATATTTAGCGGTATATCGCAGAAAATCACAACACCGTTAAAGCCGACCTTCCACCAAAGTAGTATTTTTTTTTTTGTCCTTTGGAATTGAAATTCAAACAGGAAAAACGCATAAAATTATATACTACACGTGATGTACAGGTGTCGTATGTACATTATACACATATATAGTATGGTGAACGCCTAAAACCGAAATCGTTATGGGCACCAGCCGCGACGACGGCGGCGGCGGATACATCAAAGGGTGTAATTTACAACCGATTCCGGCGTAGATTTATTATAGGTAGGAATAGACCCAAGACGTGGGAAGTCCGGGGAAGGAGGAGCAGCACAGAACATATATAATATATATAAATACGGATTAAATGTATTCTACACGTATATAGAGAACGCGCATCCGATTTTTAAGCGGTACATTGTGCGTGCCTCGTGTTAAATTCGGTAGCAAACTGGGTAGATCGTAATTTAGCGGTTAATTGGACACCACCAAACAGGACTACTCGACCAGGAGACGACTCTCGTGCACCAACAACGCCCACCGCCAAAGCCACCACTGCCGAGCACCTTGTGTGCATGTACACATTAACATTCTCAAAGTTATTATAATATGTTGTTATACATCGTGTGCTTGTGTGTAGATCGGGCGCGCGACGGTGGTTGTATAGATAATGAGAAATGTATAATATTATTATACGTATCATATACACCGAATGCGATGAGAAGGCTACGTCTTTAGCGGGAGATCGATGCAAATCAAAATGACTATTCGGCAATAGTGTGACATGGATATCTGTAAATATGATATACCTATAAATTATAGACGCGTAAATATATGTACGACTTTCTCATAGAAAACCCGACGATTTATTGTGTTTTAATTTGGTTGTATAATATATAAATATATATTAACGTAATATTACTAAAGCTTTCAGTTAAAATAAAAACTGTCAATTATTTTATTTAAAAAAAATCGTACTTTCAATACAATTTTTATAATTTAATAGCAAAAAATAATTGTTTGACGGACAAAAGCAGCTATTTGATTTATTTATTCTGTTTTGGTAAATAAAAAACACACCTAAAAATAAATATACGTTTAGCTTCAGTGTTATTCGACAACAAATCCCGTTCAATTTGATTGCAGGTGTTGCAATCAATGAATTGATTGATAATCATGACGAGTCCGCAAACACAGATCTTATTTAAAAGCGAAAGATTAGTGATTTTATTTTTAAATTATGCTCAGTACATTGTTCTTGTACTTAAGGGACATTATTTAATCATGACCCGGATTCAGGACTTATAAAGCAATTCAAATCATCAAAATAAGTCATTAAAAAAACGTTTAAAACTTCATTAAAAACATCCAAACTGGCACTTAAAAGACATTAAAAAAGCAATCGCAAAAATAGTAAAGATCCCCTCAATTCCATAAAAAAAAAAATAGAGTGCTCCTTAAAAGCTTGCAAGTTTTCCTTTTTATATTGTAAAATACTATA